AAAACATCTTATCTCTCAATACTAACCAAATCAACCAAAACAACTTCTACTTAAACATCTGCCAGTCCATGAAATATTACTGTTTGAACCATTAATTGTAATACTGTTTTTATTATGTGTAACTTCAAGATTATTACTGTTATAAACTTCCACCTTGACTACCTCACACTAGTATTAAGATTAAATAAGATTGTAATAAAGTTAACCACTATTATCTTGTCTAGTTTTCAGTAATTACTATGTACTAGGATTAGTCTGCCCAAAATGCCCCGGCATGACACTGGCTTTCTTTGTACTCAGCAAACCAAAATTGTAATTATACATTGTAACCTTTACAAAGAAATAAATCTTTATCTTTATGGTAATAAGATGTAATGGGACTGCAGACACTCAGACCGCCACACAAATACAGCCATAAGCCATGTTTGATTTTAATATTGTAGGTATTAGGAATAATACCTTAAGACAATATGCAGACAATCTCACATACATTTAAGTTTTATAACCATGAGCCACGGTACAAACGTGTGAAATATGACCATCCTTTGTACTATTCTTTTCTATACAAACAATTTTTTTATAAGGTGGCAAACACAGAATTCAACTTGTTTGTAAGTTGGAGACTTCCTGTACCATGAAGATGAGAATGTTTAAAATTAAGTCACTATTTCCTGGCCTTGGTGCTAAAACTTTAAAAAATATTCCTGGGTATGAAAGATATCTTGCAGTGAAAGCAGTGTCTTCTGGCTGTTACTTAGTACAATAAAGTCCCTCACTCACCCACAGCCTAAATATATATAACCAAATACACACACACTCTCAGCATGTACAGATGAGACAAACACATGATCCTCCATCACTGTTACAACACATGATCCTCCATCACTGTTACAACACATGATCCTCCATCACTGCTACAACACATGATCCTCCCTCACTGCTACATCACATGATCCTCCCTCACTGCTACATCACATGATCCTCCCTTACCACTATAACACATGATCCTCCATCACTGTTACAACACATGATCCTCCCTCACTGCTACAACACATGATCCTCCCTCACTGCTACACCACATGATCCTCCCTCACTGCTACATCACATGAGCCTTCCTCACTGCTACATCACATGATCCTCCCTTACCACTACAACACATAATCCTCTGTCATTGCTACAACACATGATCCTCCCTCACTGCTACAACACATGATCCTCCCTCACTGCTACACCACATGATCCTCCCTCACTGCTACACCACATGATCCTCCCTCACTGCTACATCACATGAGCCTCCCTCACTGCTACATCACATGATCCTCCCTTACCACTACAACACATGATCCTCTGTCATTGCTACAACACATGATCCTCCCTCACTGCTACAACACATGATCCTCCCTCACTGCTACAACACATGATCCTCCCTCACTGCTACAACACATGATCCTCCCTCACTGCTACACCACATGATCCTCCCTCACTGCTACACCACATGATCCTCCCTCACTGCTACAACACATGATCCTCCCTCACTGCTACAACACATGATCCTCCCTCACTGCTACAACACATGATCCTCCCTCACTGCTACAACACATGATCCTCCCTCACTGCTACAACACATGATCCTCCCTCACTGCTACAACACATGATCCTCCCTCACTGCTACAACACATGATCCTCCCTCACTGCTACACCACATGATCCTCCCTCACTGCTACACCACATGATCCTCCCTCACTGCTACACCACATGATCCTCCCTCACTGCTACATCACATGATCCTCCCTCACTGCTACATCACATGATCCTCCCTTACCACTACATCACATGATCCTCCCTCACTGCTACAACATATGATCCTCCCTCACTGCTACAACACATGATCCTTCCTCACTACTACATCACATGATCCTCCCTTACCACTACAACATATGATCCTCCCTCACTGCTACACCACATGATCCTCCCTCACTGCTACAACACATGATCCTCCCTCACTGCTACACCACATGATCCTCCCTCACTGCTACAACACATGATCCTCCCTCACTGCTACAACACATGATCCTCCCTCACTGCTACATCACATGATCCTCCCTTACCACTACAACATATGATCCTCCCTCACTGCTACACCACATGATCCTCCTCACTGCTACAACACATGATCCTCCCTCACTGCTACAACACATGATCCTCCCTCACTGCTACACCACATGATCTCCCTCACTGCTACAACACATGATCCTCCTCACTGCTACAACACATGATCCTCCCTCACTGCTACAACCACATGATCCTCCCTCACTGCTACAACACATGATCTCCTCACTGCTACAACACATGATCCTCCTCACTGCTACAACACATGATCCTCCCTCACTGCTACAACACATGATCCTCCTCACTGCTACAACACATGATCCTCCCTTCCACTACAACACATGATCCTCCCTCACTGCTACAACACATGATCCTCCCTCACTGCTACAACACATGATCCTCCCTCACTGCTACAACACATGATCCTCCCTTACCACTACAACACATGATCCTCCCTCACTGCTACAACACATGATCCTCCCTCACTGCTACAACACATGATCCTCCCTCACTGCTACAACACATGATCCTCCCTCACTGCTACACCACATGATCCTCCCTCACTGCTACAACACATGATCCTCCCTCACTGCTACAACACATGATCCTCCCTCACTGCTACATCACATGATCCTCCTCACTGCTACAACACATGATCCTCCCTCACTGCTACAACACATGATCCTCCCTCACTGCTACAACACATGATCCTCCCTCACTGTTACACCACATGATCCTCCCTCACTGCTACATCACATGATCCTCCCTCACTGCTACAACACATGATCCTCCCTCACTGCTACAATCACATGATCCTCCCTCACTGCTACAACACATGATCCTCCCTCACTGCTACAACACATGATCCTCCCTCACTGCTACAACACATGATCCTCCCTCACTGTTACACCACATGATCCTCCCTCACTGCTACATCACATGATCCTCCCTCACTGCTACAACACATGATCCTCCCTCACTGCTACAACACATGATCCTCCCTCACTGCTACAACACATGATCCTCCCTCACTGCTACACACATGATCCTCCCTCACTGCTACAACACATGATCCTCCCTCACTGCTACAACACATGATCCTCCCTCACTGCTACAACACATGATCCTCCCTCACTGCTACACCACATGATCCTCCCTCACTGCTACAACACATGATCCTCCCTCACTGCTACAACACATGATCCTCCCTCACTGCTACAACACATGATCCTCCCTCACTGCTACACCACATGATCCTCCCTCACTGCTACACCACATGATCCTCCCTCACTGCTACACCACATGATCCTCCCTCACTGCTACAACACATGATCCTCCCTCACTGTTACACCACATGATTCCCCTCACTGCTACAACACATGATCCTCCCTCACTGCTACAACACATGATCCTCCCTCACTGCTACAACACATGATCCTCCCTCACTGTTACACCACATGATCCTCCCTCACTGCTACAACACATGATCCTCCCTCACTGCTACAACACATGATCCTCCCTCACTGCTACAACACATGATCCTCCCTCACTGCTACAACACATGATCCTCCCTCACTGCTACATCACATGATCCTCCCTCACTGCTACAACACATGATCCTCCCTCACTGCTACAACACATGATCCTCCCTCACTGCTACAACACATGATCCTCCCTCACTGCTACAACACATGATCCTCCCTCACTGCTACAACACATGATCCTCCCTCACTGCTACAACACATGATCCTCCCTCACTGCTACAACACATGATCCTCCCTCACTGCTACAACACATGATCCTCCCTCACTGCTACAACACATGATCCTCCCTCACTGCTACAACACATGATCCTCCCTCACTGCTACAACACATGATCCTCCCTCACTGCTACACACATGATCCTCCCTCACTGCTACAACACATGATCCTCCCTCACTGCTACAACACATGATCCTCCCTCACTGCTACACCACATGATCCTCCCTCACTGCTACAACACATGATCCTCCCTCACTGCTACACCACATGATCCTCCCTCACTGCTACACCACATGATCCTCCCTCACTGCTACAACACATGATCCTCCCTCACTGCTACACCACATGATCCTCCCTCAATGTAGGGCAATTAATAAACTTGCTATTTCTCATCAGACTTCAAAAAGACTCACTTTCCTATCATTCAGATATTCACCTACCAGTTCGCATCCACTTTCAAAACTAATACATTCACAACTTAACAACACAAAGAATAAGATTACAACACAACTATAAGCTCTGAACTTGAAGCCTGGGTAATGAAAGTCTGAGCATACACCAGTTATCTCATAACATAAAAACTACACACATCTCCACTCTGAATATTCAAGTTCCTCCTGAAAATATTTTAATACTACGTATATATATTTGTCAGTCCAAACATTTTCCAAATGACATAGGCACCCCTGAATTCTACTTCTCATACACTACAATAATTCTATGCTACAATATACTTGATGTACTCACTTAGAAAATACATGTATACAGTACTTCATTTTAAAAATTATTTTATCATGGGATTGATGTATTATTGTTTCATATTTTTTTGCTTATGAATATATGGTCATAATGTTACAATAATTGTTGTTAATAAATGGTACCACAAATAATCAATATTGAGGCACACATTAACATACAGTAGTGGAAACAAACATACCTATGGAAATTACACAACATTTTTTTTTATTTGGAACCTCAAAAACACTAGTTCAATCTTCCTACATTAGGCCTCAAGATTATAAACCAAGAAAGTATAATAGCAAAAACTTTAAATCAGGTAAATTTATGGTAGAAGATATGTCATTCAGCAATGAATCCATTAAAAAACTAAGAAGTTATGCAGTACTTACTAGGTTCAAGTCCATCCACCTTGACTTTAGTGACATCAACATGTGACTGTACAGGAACAACAATTGGTGACTGAGGGATTTCTGAGCCGGCGTAGAGCACTGTTACTCGATGATCTCCGGGAGACGATGTTAAATATTCCACAGTGAAGGTTCCATCACGGTTATCCTGGATTTCTATGGGAATGTCTTGCCCATGTGCATTAGTCAGGGCAATCTGTACTTCACCTATTAAAACAAAATCTATATTTCATCCATTCAAGGAACTAGGAAAACATAAAATAAAAAAATAAAAGACAGCAATGAATACAAGAACAACTGAAGATGAAAAAGAGGAACATATGAAAGAAATTCTGTGCACTCAAAACGTCACAGATGAGTCAACGTCATTATCAATTTTTTTTTAACATACTGGTCATCTCCTACTGAGGCAGGCTGACCTAAAAAGAATGAAAGTTTTCTTTTAAAATTTAGTAATTTATACAAAAGGAGCTACTAGCCCCTAGTTTCTGGCATTTTAGGCACCTCTTGTGGCACACAGAAATCAATTGATTTCCCTACTGGCCATGATTCTGCACATATTCTATAACTCTTCGAAAACAACGAGTCAAAATAAACACCAAATAAATTAAAGTAGTGCATCACATTATATTTACCTGGTCCAGCTTCACGACAATCAATGTTGAAGTGTGTTGGGGTGTTGGACTTCACGCCACGTTCTACTCCTGGTCCAAACACCTTCACCGCTCCTGGGTCTGAAGGTTCAGTGACGAACACACGATATGGAGAGTTTTCAGTAGCAACCCCACCATAATTTACCTTCGTGAAACAAATACATAAAATATAGTTAAATAAATCACATACTGTAAGCCCAGAATTCAAGCATAAATACAATTTATGCCAAAAATTTATTAATGCACATTTTTTTTTTACTTTCTGGCCATCTCTCACCGAGGTAGGGTGACTTAAAAAAGAAATACGTTCAACATCATTCACACTATCACTGCCTTGCCAGATGCAGGCAGACATGAGAGTTTAGATGTCACTCTAAACAGGAAATATCCCAAACTCCTCCTTTACAGTGCAGGTATTGTACTTCCCACCTCTAGGGCTCTTACACTATATTACTTACACTATACTATTCACTGATCTACCCATACCTCACCTATGCTATTTGTGCCTGGGGTTCCACAACGAAAAACCACCTAAAATCAATAATAACACAACAATAAGCTGCAGTACGAATGATCACACAATCCACTGCTAGACAACCCCCCCCCCCCCATTCTTCAAAGACCTAAACCTACTCACTATACAAAATATTCACTCATTCTATTGTGCAACCTACATTTACAGAACAATCAATTCTAATATAAATTCTGATCTGAAATGCTTTCCTGACAGTTGCAATAGGACTCATAGACCCAACACTTGGCACAAAAACCTCTATGACATTTCCCGTGTCAGGCTAAATCTTTCCAAAAACTAATTGTACATAAAAGTGCCCAAAATCTGGAACTCCCTGCCATAAAATTTCCAGAACCACTGTCTCAGCTAGCATTTTTAAAACTACATTTAAAAAACACCTTATCTCCTTAACCTATACCACCCCATCATAAATACATAAGTAAAAACTATACATACATTTGCTCAATATCATGAAAATAGGTAAAACTTTCTCATCAATATATACTTACTCTCAATATCTGTATTTTCTCAAATGTTAATCACTCCATTGTGTCTGCCTAAGTTTAATAATCAAAACTGTACATCTTCTCTACATATATTATATTATTTATATATTTTTTTTTTAATTTTTATTTAGCCTTCTCTACAAGACTTATTAAAGTCATATTGAATTACCTAAAAGAATACTCAATTGTCTTGTATTCATTGTAACTCATTTAATGACCATAAGCACTGTTACTGCCTTATTAAACTTAAGTTAATTTTAAGTTTGCCAGAAATGCTCTGCATACAAAGGGACTTTTGGCATGTACACCCAACTACAGTGTATTATATTCTTTTGTACAAACATGTATCATGTCAAAATAAAATACAGCCTCTCCTCACTTAGTGACGTACTCGTTTACTGATGCCTCAAACTTATGACGGGCTCTTTGACCAGTATGCATACCTAAATAATGTATATTAGGGCTGATTTCCTCTATTCTTTTTATTTCAATATACGTACAGTGCACTACTGTATAAACATTTAAAAATAAACCAGAAATATTATAAATGGTGTAAAGGCAACATTAAAACAATATCAATGATGGTTGACACAAACCCACCACCATTAAACTATGATCCTCACTCAGTGACGGATTCATTTACCGATGTGGTCTTAGGAACGGAACTCCGTTGTTAAGTGAGGAGAGGCTGTATTATTATTATTATAAATCTGGATAACCAGTTTCCCTGAATCCCTTCACAAAATATTACCCTGCTCACACTCCAACAGCTCCTCAAGTCCTAAAAACCATTCGTCTCCACTTACTCCTATCTAACACACTCATGCATGCCTAATTAGGTACTCATTAAATACAAAGTAAGGCATAAAGTTCTTTGCTGCAAGAATAATATCTCTTTGTGAGAAACAATTACTGCCAAATCAGCACAGCCAAATATAAAAATAATCATTCTTTGCAAAACAATTTAGGCTACATTTTTTCTTAACTCGACAGCTGTCTCCTGCCAAGACAGGGTGACCCAAAGAAGAAAACACTTTCAACATCATTCATTCACTCACCATCTTTCCAGAAGTGTGCTGACATCATAATCAAGATTACCTTTTGAATATAACATCCCCACCCTTCCTTCAAAGTGCAGACACTACTCTTCCCACCACTCTGTCTAGCAAACCAGTTTACTTGAATCCTTTCATAAAGGTTACCTTGCTAACATTCCAACAACACATCCATTTAAAATCACTTGTTTCCATTCCTCCTATCTAACATGCTCACACAAGCCTGATGGATGCTCAAGCCCCTAAAACTCTAAGCTTCTTTTACCCCCTTCCTCCAACTGTTCCTGGGACAACCCCTACCCCTCCTATCTTCCAATCCAGATTAATAAACCCTCTTTGTCAGCCTACCCCTCTCCAACCTCTCTACACACCCAAACCACACTCTGTATTGAAGAAAATTATTTAGTCTAACAAAATATCTAAGTACAATCTTCACCTTCTAGTACTGAAAACTGCATATTAAAAGTAATAGGTAAAAACCTAATTCCTGAGAACACTAAGTTTTATGACCTATAAAGACTTCCTGTATTTTGTATGAGAGGCAATGGAGCTTCCACTTTTTAAATTATTATTATTATAATCAAGGGGGAAGCGCTAAACCCAGAGGATTATACAGCGCCTGGGGGGGGGGGATGTAGAAGGCATTCAGGCTTAATTCAGGAAACTGGAGCACAGATCCAATTCCCTAAATCAAGAGCCCCTCACCAACATCAAGAAACCTTCCTTGAGGGGTCCACTTTTTAAATAGCCATAAATTGTATGTTCTGGTACTAACAAACTGCCCATGTGTATTCAAACAGAAAATTTAACATATAAATTAATCCTTGAAGGGAGGCTTGATACTGATGAAGGATTCCTAATCCAAGGAACTGAAGCTATCCTCAGCTTCCTCAGATCAAACCTGATAATCTTCCACCTCTCCCATGTCCCAGGGATTCTATGACTTTTTTTTATTTTATTAATTCACTGGCAGTTTCCCATAAATGCAGCACAGAATAATAATAATAATACACGTAATAATAATAATAATAATAATAATTAACATAATATTCAAATTATAAGTTCTAACCTGAACTGTGTGTTTGTTTCCTCGTGTTGGTCTATAAGAGAAATCATATGTGCCATTCTTGTTATCTTTGGCCTCCAGCTTGATCGGCTGATAGTTGGCGTCCATTACTGTTACATCCAGCGGAGCATCACCAGCCTTCCGCGTATCCACTTGGAACTCTGCTGGTCGTCCAGGTACTAATCCATTCTTTTCTAAACCAGGACCTTTGCATTTGACCTGAAATAACATATAAACACTGAAAATAATTTCTTTTAAAGAAACTATAAGTTACTGTAAATAATAATTTACTACACATCATATAAATTTGCTCTCATGCATTCACCCAAACCCAGGTCCACTTGATTTTTTAACAATATCTTGGGAATAAATTTTCCCCATTTTCCCCATTTTTTTAACATGCTGGCCATATCCCACCAAGGCAGGGTGACCTGAAAAAACAAACACTTTCACCATCATTTACACTATTGCAGTCTTGCCAGGGGTGCATAGATACAATTACTAAAAATAAGAAGGATCCTGAGACACTTCCTCATATTATTCTGTCCACTGGGCACATTACACGAGGGCCACCATTCATAAGCCCATTTTTCCACTGTGGTGATATTTCCTAGTTTTGGTGTGAAGACAGTTTGTGAACTTAGGTGAGGGTGTTAGTGTCTGACTCTTGTGGGGCTTAGCTAAGAGGGTCCATCTGACCTAACTGGCAATTTTTTTTTGCTGTCTTTATTTGCAGAGGGAATTCTTGTTCCCTTTTCTTCCATTGCCCAGCTTTGGGCCTATATTTCTTTCCCTTACATCAGGAGGCACAGCTTGGTACAGCACAAGATGTCAGAGACCCTAAAACCTGTAAAATGCTCTGCATAACTATGGACTTTCTGCGTGCACAACTAAATGTCACCCATCTCTGTACAAACAAATATTGCATCATGCTAAAATGAAAATTATTATTAATTTTTTTTTTTTTTTTCAACAAGTTGGCCGTCTCCCACCGAGGCAGGGTGACCCAAAAAAGAAAGAAAATCCCCAAAAAGAAAATACTTTCATCATCATTCAACACTTTCACCACACTCACACATTATCACTGCTTTTGCAGAGGTGCTCAGAATACAACAGTTTAGAAGCATATACGTATAAAGATACACAACATATCCCTCCAAACTGCCAATATCCCAAACCCCTCCTTTAAAGTGCAGTCATTGTACTTCCCATTTCCAGGACTCAAGTCCGACTATATGAAAATAACCGGTTTCCCTGAATCCCTTCACTAAATATTACCCTGCTCACACTCCAACAGATCGTCAGGTCTCAAGTATCATTCGTCTCCATTCACTCCTATCTAACACGCTCATGCACGCTTGCTGGAAGTCTAAGCCCCTTGCCCACAAAACCTCCTTTACCCCCTCTTTCCAACCCTTTCGAGGACGACCCCTACCCCTCCTTCCTTCCCCTATAGATTTATATGCTTTCCATGTCATTCTACTTTGATCCATTCTCTCTAAATGACCAAACCACCTCAACAACCCCTCTTCTGCCCTCTGACTAATGCTTTTATTAACTCCACACCTTCTCCTAATTTCCACACTCCGAATTTTCTGCATAATATTTACACCACACATTGCCCTTAGACAGGACATCTCCACTGCCTCCAACCGTCTCCTCGCTGCTGCATTTACCACCCAAGCTTCACATCCATATAAGAGTGTTGGTACTACTATACTTTCATACATTCCCTTCTTTGCCTCCATAGATAACGTTTTTTGACTCCACATATACCTCAACGCACCACTCACCTTTTTTCCCTCATCAATTCTATGATTAACCTCATCCTTCATAAACCCATCCGCCGACACGTCAACTCCCAAATATCTGAAAACATTCACTTCTTCCATACTCCTCCTCCCCAATTTGATATCCAATTTTTCTTTATCTAAATCATTTGATACCCTCATCACCTTACTCTTTTCTATGTTCACTTTCAACTTTCTACCTTTACACACATTCTCAAACTCATCCACTAACCTTTGCAATTTTTCTTTAGAATCTCCCATAAGCACAGTATCATCAGCAAAAAGTAACTGTGTCAGTTTCCCATTTTGAATTTGATTCCCCATAATTTAATCCCACCCCTCTCCCGAACACCCTAGCATTTACTTCTTTTACAACCCCATCTATAAATATATTAAACAACCATGGTGACATTACACATCCCTGTCTAAGACCTACTTTTACCGGGAAGTATTCTCCCTCTCTTCTACATACCCTAACCTGAGCCTCACTATCCTCATAAAAGCTCTTTACAGCATTTAGTAACTTACCACCTATTCCATATACTTGCAACATCTGCCACATTGCTCCTCTATCCACTCTATCATATTTTTTTTTTTTTTTTTTATTATCACACCGGCCGATTCCCACCAAGGCAGGGTGGCCCGAAAAAGAAAAACTTTCACCATCATTCACTCCATCACTGTCTTGCCAGAAGGGTGCTTTACACTACAGTTTTTAAACTGCAACATTAACACCCCTCCTTCAGAGTGCAGGCACTGTACTTCCCATCTCCAGGACTCAAGTCCGGCCTGCCGGTTTCCCTGAATCCCTTCATAAATGTTACTTTGCTCACACTCCAACAGCACGTCAAGTATTAAAAACCATTTGTCTCCATTCACTCCTATCAAACACGCTCACGCATGCCTGCTGGAAGTCCAAGCCCCTCGCACACAAAACCTCCTTTACCCCCTCCCTCCAACCCTTCCTAGGCCGACCCCTACCCGCCTTCCTTCCACTACAGACTGATACACTCTTGAAGTCATTCTGTTTCGCTCCATTCTCTCTACATGTCCGAACCACCTCAACAACCCTTCCTCAGCCCTCTGGACAACAGTTTTGGTAATCCGCACCTCCTCCTAACTTCCAAACTACGAATTCTCTGCATTATATTCACACCACACATTGCCCTCAGACATGACATCTCCACTGCCTCCAGCCTTCTCCTCGCTGCAACATTCATCACCCACGCTTCACACCCATATAAGAGCGTTGGTAAAACTATACTCTCATACATTCCCCTCTTTGCCTCCAAGGACAAAGTTCTTTGTCTCCACAGACTCCTAAGTGCACCACTCACTCTTTTTCCCTCATCAATTCTATGATTCACCTCATCTTTCATAGACCATCCGCTGACACGTCCACTCCCAAATATCTGAATACGTTCACCTCCTCCATACTCTCTCCCTCCAATCTGATATTCAATCTTTCATCACCTAATCTTTTTGTTATCCTCATAACCTTACTCTTTCCTGTATTCACCTTTAATTTTCTTCTTTTGCACACCCTACCAAATTCATCCACCAATCTCTGCAACTTCTCTTCAGAATCTCCCAAGAGCACAGTGTCATCAGCAAAGAGCAGCTGTGACAACTCCCACTTTGTGTGTGATTCTTTATCTTTTAACTCCACGCCTCTTGCCAAGACCCTCGCATTTACTTCTCTTACAACCCCATCTATAAATATATTAAACAACCACGGTGACATCACACATCCTTGTCTAAGGCCTACTTTTACTGGGAAAAAATTCCCCTCTTTCCTACATACTCTAACTTGAGCCTCACTATCCTCGTAAAAACTCTTCACTGCTTTCAGTAACCTACCTCCTACACCATACACTTGCAACATCTGCCACATTGCCCCCTATCCACCCTGTCATACGCCTTTTCCAAATCCATAAATGCCACAAAGACCTCTTTAGCCTTATCTAAATACTGTTCACTTATATGTTTCACTGTAAACACCTGGTCCACACACCCCTACCTTTCCTAAAGCCTCCTTGTTCATCTGCTATCCTATTCTCCGTCTTACTCTTAATTCTTTCAATTATAACTCTACCATACACTTTACCAGGTACACTCAACAGACTTATCCCCCTATAATTTTTGCACTCTCTTTTATCCCCTTTGCCTTTATACAAAGGAACTATGCATGCTCTCTGCCAATCCCTAGGTACCTTACCCTCTTCCATACATTTATTAAATAATTGCACCAACCACTCCAAAACTATATCCCCACCTGCTTTTAACATTTCTATCTTTATCCCATCAATCCCGGCTGCCTTACCCCCTTTCATTTTACCTACTGCCTCACGAACTTCCCCCACACTCACAACTGACTCTTCCTCACTCCTACAAGATGTTATTCCTCCTTGCCCTATACACGAAATCACAGCTTCCCTATCTTCATCAACATTTAACAATTCCTCAAAATATTCCTTCCATCTTCCCAATACCTCTAACTCTCCATTTAATAACTCTCCTCTCCTATTTTTAACTGACAAATCCATTTGTTCTCTAGGCTTTCTTAACTTGTTAATCTCACTCCAAAACTTTTTCTTATTTTCAACAAAATTTGTTGATAACATCTCACCCACTCTCTCATTTGCTCTCTTTTTACATTGCTTCACCACTCTCTTAACTTCTCTCTTTTTCTCCATATACTCTTCCCTCCTTGCATCACTTCTACTTTGTAAAAACTTCTCATATGCTAACTTTTTCTCCCTTACTACTCTCTTTACATCATCATTCCACCAATCGCTCCTCTTCCCTCCTGCACCCACTTTCCTGTAACCACAAACTTCTGCTGAACACTCTAACACTACATTTTTAAACCTACCCCATACCTCTTCGACCCCATTGCCTATGCTCTCATTAGCCCATCTATCCTCCAATAGCTGTTTATATCTTACCCTAACTGCCTCCTCTTTTAGTTTATAAACCTTTACCTCTCTCTTCCCTGATGCTTCTATTCTCCTTGTATCCATCTACCTTTTACTCTCAGTGTAGCTACAACTAGAAAGTGATCTGATATATCTGTGGCCCCTCTATAAACATGTACATCCTGAAGTCTACTCAACAGTCTTTTATCTACCAATACATAATCCAACAAACTACTGTCATTTCGCCCTACATCATATCGTGTATACTTATTTATCCTCTTTTTCTTAAAATATGTATTACTATAACTAAACCCCTTTCTATACAAAGTTCAATCAAAGGGCTCCCATTATCATTTACACCTGGCACCCCAAACTTACCTACCACACCCTCTCTAAAAGTTTCTCCTACTTTAGCATTCAAGTCCCCTACCACAATTACTCTCTCACTTGGTTCAAAGGCTCCTATACATTCACTTAACATCTCCCAAAATCTCTCTCTCTCCTCTGCATT